TAAAATACACGTTTAATTTTATCGACCATTTACATATTTATTCCTGTGAGTACCTGTCATAGGAGGCCCAGTACACTGCTTTGCCCGGGGCCCATAATGCTGGCCTGGCAGCCCTATTTAAAATGATTCATTTTAAAAGGTTTAATATAGCTATGTTGACAGAATATGGCACCACTTGCTCCCTCAAAATAATATTAATCACCCTAGCTATTTACTCTATTTCTAGCTTCCTGAAAGAACCAGGTGGGGCCACAATCCATCATATAGGGGAAGAAACTCATGCTGCAAAGGCCATATCCATATCCACCTCATCAGAGTCAAAAAGCTCATAAGCATCTCAGATCATTTCACAAAGTATCACTCCAGTTACTTCCTTTGGCTCTGCCAATGAAGCGTCAAGATTTGAACAAATACAAGTGATGGAATCAGTGCAAATATTTCATAGCAGTTTGAATAAAAGCTCTTTTGAGCTAACTTTTCTTTGAATAGTATAGTATGTCATCTTAAACAGGGCTGCTAGATGACATTCTGCTGGTGTAACAAGGATGGTGAAATATAAATACTTCACTGCTCTCATCACCACAAGTAGGCCCAAACAAAGGCTCCAACTTGCATTCATGTTCATTTGCTGTAAGAATCATTTTTGTTCCTGGAGATCCTCGATAAACCATTACATTTTTTGGGATCTGCAAACAGGGAGACATCTCTTAGGGACATTGCCCTTAAAGTTGCATATTTCAGAGTTCAATGAGTGATATAGCTATTACTCATACATATAGGTGTGAGTAGATGTATCTGGAAAATGCCTACACCTATTGAAAACTAAGCAGATCCATTCAATACCTCAGGGGCACAATCTTATTATCATATAGAGGTAAAAACTAAATGAAGGCTGATCAAAAAATATTCTATGACCAATAAGGTGTCCCCTTTCATTTATTTTGTTATTATTACTTTTTATTATGCAATTTCCATTGTTATATATAAAATGTCCATATCCACAATGGCAGTGTACTATCTGGTACAATCTCTTTTAAATACAAATAATAAATCTTATACAAATAATAGTTATAACCATTATTCTCAAAGTCTATTCACTATGATTATTATTAAACATTTTCTGTTACTTAATTAAACGCTCTGTTCAGTTTTGTCCATAATTAGTTAATAATATCAAACATTATAAACATCATATAAACATCACATTTGTAACCATTATCCTCCAAGTCTATTAATCATAATGTTCACTTATCCTCATTATTCAATATTCATTATTTAATTACACACCTACTTCATTTTTATTTACATATGCTCCTTAATTCTAAATTTCTAAATTCTGCTTCTATTTTCTAACCATTGATAGAATAATTCCCAAGTTAAAAAGCATTGTTTCCTCCATACCCTTAATTTTCAATGTTAATCTATCCATTTCAGCACATTCTAGTATTTCTTTATTAAATTTTCCTCTATAGGTAGATTTTCATTTTTCCAATTTTGTGCATATACTGCTGCTGTTACCACATGTAAAAGTAAATATGTATTTCTTTTATTATATTTCTCCAGTAGGATACCCAACAAGAACATCTCTGATTTTGGGTCTAATTGTTTGTCATTTCTTCTAGCCACATTTTAATTTTTAACATTTTTTTTTTTACTATAGGACAACTCCACCAGATATGGTAGTAAGAACCTGGTATGGCCAGGTGGATGCAAACACGTGGGTGTGGCCAGGTGGGAGGCACCAGGTGGACATAGCCAAGGTAGACTCATCACCCTGCCAGAACAAAAATCGTGTTGGCAAATAGGAAGCAGGGAACTGCAAAAATTTAAAGGCAAAGGATGGATTTCTCCCCACCCCAAATTTGGTAAAACACTTTTTTTCTGCTTCCCAGGAGAAGTTCCTCTGCTAAGTTTGGGAGGCTGGATCACAACATGGAGTATATCACAATGATGAGTGTTAGATGTAACTTCTATATTTCTTTAGAGTTATAAATCCTCACAAAGTACATCAATTTGCAGAAAACTCACTGAATCAGAGAAGAGATTTAATAAAAGCCAGTATTTTTTTCCTAGTTCTTATTCCAGCCATTTATTTCTCTTGCTTGCTTCAACATGTAATGTTGTGAAAGTCACAGTGTACCAGTTTGTTTTCTTTGATTTCCAGACTTTATTGATCTATGTCTTCCTTATCAGTGTTTCCTACAGTTAAGGCAAAAGATCATAAACAATCCCAACTAAATGTAGTATCTTGATTTCCCTGTTTGTTAGTCTATCTGACCAAAAACTAGGCAAATGTCTCTTTTGTTTATAGACATGCACATCATTCCTTTGGACCTATCAGGCAAGAGAGCCTTATCTGGCCATCCTGCCACAATTACAAGAGCAGCATAAGAAAATAAATCATAAGAATATGAAAAACTACAGTGATAGCTCAAGCTTTGTCTTATCCTGCATTCTAAGACACTAGACAGTCACTGGTCTTAAATGGTATAGGGCACGAGTGTCAAATTTGATCGCATCATGTGACATCACATGACGTATCATGGTTTTTTTTTATCTTTGTGGGGCTGGCCTGCGTGTAATGCATCTGGCCTGCTGGCTGCCAGTTTGACACTATAGAGTAGTATAGGATGATATAACCGATACTATAGGGCCGTGACGGTGAACCTAGGGCACGCATGCCACAGGTGGCACACCTAGCCCTCTAGCACGCAAGTCATCGCCCAGCTCAGCTCCAACACGCATGCGTGCACACCTCCACCAGCCAGATGATTTTTGGGTCTCTGTTGCGCATACGGGAAACATGCACACATGCCCAGGGGGGTGGGGGTTGTGCATGCATGTGTGGGCGGCTTCAGGAAGGCCTGCTAGTCCCAAAATGGGCCGTGGCACAGAAGGCTTCAGGGAGGGCTGCTAGGCCCAAAACGCGGTATGGTGAGGGGTCCTGCGCATGCACAAGGGGCAGGGGAGCAGGGGGGTGTCATACACGCATGTGCAGGAGGTGGGGTGCATTGCATTATGGGTGTGGGTGTGTGATTTTGGCAAGCGAGGACAAAATGGTTAGCCATCGCTGCTATAGGATCTCCTGCTGAAGCAGTGGTTTGGATTAGAAGACATCCGAGATCCCTTCCAGCTCTATTCTAATTGATTGATAAAGTGAGAACTTGATATCTATGAGAAGGCCATCCCATTTTGCCTCCCCAATGACTGGATGGCTGAATGTTTACTAACAAATATAGATAAATAAAACCTAGCTTACATGAAGTTGACTAGCCCCTTTTAAGGCTGTTTGCGAATGACTTTTGCCACATTTTATGTTACCAGATTTCATTGTCTAACTATGCACAGTATGTAAAGAAGTACTTGAGTCCCTCCCTTCCCTGCCAAATTTAGCAGAGGAACCTCTTGCAGCTTCCATACTTCCTGTTTGCCAGCACATCTTCAGGTGATTTTTGTTCTGGTGGGGTGCTGAGTTGGCTTCACGTCTAGTTGCCTGAGGCGACTTGTTCTGAGTCCACCTGGCCACACCAACCTGAGAGTTCCCACCTGATCACACCCACATGGTTATGTCTGCTTGGCCATGCCCACCCAACTGCCCCACGTCAGCCATCCCAAGTCAGCCGTGCCGAGCCGGCTGCACCTAATCCTTCATATCGACCTGGTCACACTCACCCATGCCCACCAGATGGCACTCAGATGGCCACGCCCAGTGGGAAGTCACCCCATTCCCCCCTGGAGATGGTTCTCAAGAATAGTCATCCATAGTCAGTTATCTTCAGAGTAGAGTACATGGTAACAGCCAAAATCTTTCACGGGATCTCTGCCAACCCCCCTTATTTTCTTTCGTTTACTTTTTATTTTTTCCTTTCCTTTCCATTTTTGCTTATTACTCCTTATAATAATTAATCAGAAAAGAGAATGGGTATGTATAACATTTTCAGACTTTTTACATGATTTTTAACAATTTGAAAGTTCATTTCATATATAATGTTGAATATACAAAATGCAGATAATTTCATGCTTTGTTTCTGACTCTGAACCGCAGTGATCAAACAGTGAGTTTAAATCCAAGTGCCAATCTTATAAGTAGGAAAAGTGGCCTACAGACTACATTAAGTTGGACATCTCCAATTAAGTTTTATCCAGGTATGAATGCTTTATCCCAACTATAGAAGCTGCAAAAAACAATTACCCTGCCTCATATTTTGGCACAGATTTTGCATATCTGATCAGAAAATCAGACTTAACTGCTGGATTCTTTTCGCAGTAAACATACACAAGTCCTGATAAATAATTAGGCCTTTAATTGCAACATGACTCAGAAAACGACCGTGCAGAGAACAAGAGCAGTGGGATCTTTTTATTATTTTGGGGGCACATGTGCTATAGCTTTAGCTTTTTCTCTTCTTCCCAATTATTAGTTGAGTGGGAAGTAAAAGGATCAGTCTGAATAGTGAGAGGAAGAATTAGCCTTTCTCACTGAGGAAGAGAATATACCATACCAAACCATACTACACCCTTCCTTAATCTAGCAAACATCAGATTTAGAGGACCCCAAATGCATAACTTTGTTTTATGTGACAAAATAGCTTGCAACTAATATTTTTGGTCAGTAGAACTGAAAGTATTGGTGAACATTTCTCTTATGATCTGATGTTCCTTAATCTGTCTTAATCTGCTCCAAAGATTAAGTAAATTTAGTGTGTGTCCAAATTGCCATGGCAAAGTGGGAGAAGAGCAAGTCCTACTGTAGTTTGATAATTCACATTGAAAGTAATATTACTTCATTTCAAAACAAAAGAACCAAGTGGCAAAATAAAAATAGTAAGAGCAAGAAAAAAACAGGGATACATCATTTTCATTAAAGGAATACCATATAATCCACATAAACCAATTTTGATAAAACAAAGCATAACATATAAAAAATGTTTCCCTGGTTTTGAGCAATTTGTCATGGCTCGAGCATTCCTTTTTGTTAGAAAGAAAATAAAGTAACATACCCATGGATTCTCCGTGTTTAATTTCTTCAGCCGTCCGGTCTATGAGGACATAGAGTGACCACACCACACAAGTGATAGCAATGATATGGAAAGTTACAGAGCACATGATCTTTCTTTGCTCACTGCCTGTCATCTGCAGTTTCTCCCACTAGAAAGAAATCCAGAAAATAGAAATGTTCAATTCTGTTGTCAAAGAACAAGTGATACTTGCTGTCTAGTTAGAAACCTTTATTTTATTGAATTTGACCTTGATGACAGATGATCAAGCAAGCACACACAGTTTACATATGGATATGATACACTGTTCTGTATTATATTAAGCCCCTTATCAACCAATGGCATCTGAGGGCACTCAGGTAGCATGCGTACTCTGTCATAATGCCTGCCCTTTGCATTTCTTCACAGATTTAAAAGACGCCGATCCTGCTGTCTTTTAAATGTGCTTTGACGAGCTGGCTCTTTCCCCAGATTGTGGACTAAGATGGGATGGCAATTCCCTATGCAAGGTTGTTATAGTGGATGTTTTGTTCTACTGGGATGATCTTCTTTCTTTTCTATTGGTGCATGTTTTAAAGCTTTATTTTTAATTTATTCTATTATGCAAAGTCACCAATGATTTGTGGCAACTTTAGAAATGCAAATTAGAAATAAATAAATCTAGGAATGCAGAATTCAAATATTATGTGAAAAGCGAATTGTGTAAGTAAAAGCTATCTACTAATCATAGTTAATATTTATCTGCTAAGATTGAATAGAATAGAATAGAATGACAGAGTCGGAAGGGACCTTGGAGGTCTTCTAGTCCAACCCCCTGCCTAGGCAGG